AGGAATCATAATCTTCTATTGAATCGTTTTAATTATTATATCATGAGGGTACGAGCTGCAGGTGTTGAAAAATTACAAGAGCAAATAGCCTGCATGTAACAACAGCTCATATTTCTAAGAGTGCCTCACCTGGAGTTCTAAAAGCACTTCATAAAACTTGTTTAATGTAGCCTTATAGGGGGCAAATCAAGGAACTAAAAGCTTAAGCAAACTGCTGAAGATCAAAATGTAAGATGTGCTACAGAGTAAGAAACCCGCTGGCTCTTTCGAGTTCTCCTAGGTATACTCCTAAGCATCACTCCTTCCCCCTTCATTTTGAAACTGCTAAGTGGCTGGTGGAAAAAGAAAAATCTTTCTGTGGTTTCAGAAAGATAGTAAAACAGTTGCCAAGCATTACAGATAATTTTCTAGTGTTTAATTTCCTCTGAGGTACTAACTTTATTTTTGTTTTAAAAGGCTTTCATCTGAATTACTTGTTTTCTCCTTTCCTTGGCTTTGCTTTGAATGTGGCAAGTGAATCTTGCTTTCTTTAAAGGCCTCAACATTTGGAATTTGTTTTGGAATTTAGCTTCAAATTCAGTGTAAAAAGGCAACCAAACAAATCATGACTAGAACTTACTAGAATAAGGCCTCCAGGATACCAATCTGAAATTACTTAGCATCAAATTGTTATTCTTCAAAACCTAGAGAGACAAATACTCAGGCAGTCACAAGATCCAGAGCATAAAATGTGGTATCATGGAGTTCAATCAAGCAATAAAACAAATGCCTGAAAAGTTGGACTAGGTCCCAAGGAAGAAATTAACAATGAAGTTACCTTTGTGTTTGTAATAAAGAGGTCCCACATGTATGTTGCTAACTTTTCCTCTTCGATTTCTTTTACTGTTTTCTTACAGCCACCAGGGTCCCTAAGTGAAAGCAATTTAATTAGTTTTCCATTTTAAGAGTCTTGCTTTCATTAGAAGTTCTTTTAAGAAATGCAATAAATGGAGCGTAAATGGTGGCTGACCACTACTGGTCAGGTGTATAAGCCATGAGTAAGTTATAGCCACAAGTGAAGAAGAACCTAAAGAAAGCACAGTCATTCTACAAATTATCACGCATGTACTGGGCCAGCTTACACTTTCAACTTCCTCTGTGCAAGTACTGCAGAATTTTGTCCAATACAGCAAGATTGCATGGATACAAATGACAGCAGGTTCATATAAATTTGATTTTCAGTGCAATAGCACTGAAGGCTGAGTGAGGACCTGTACTAGTCCAAAAGTTTAAACGTTACACCATGCTGACAAAGGTAAATGTGGAAGCTGCAGTCCTTGCAGCTGTGGTATAACAGGTCACTGCTAAGGTAGTCTCATTTATCATTCAGTCCCCATCTAATCAGTCAAAGGTTTTACAAAGCAGATCAGCGTTCTACGCTTGCTATCTGCACCACATTTAGAAAAAAAATCTCTTTTTGTGCAGAAAGAGACTTTATGATCTAAATGTACGCCTCATTTTTCATGGTTACTGCGTAATGAAGAATGTGTGTATGCAGATCAGTTCAAATGACATTGAGGGAGAGGAGTTTGGGTTAGAGACAGCAACAGAGAGCAGAAGGAAGTATACAAGAGATTGCAGTACTTCAGAACCTGGAAATGAATCCAGAGCCTTATGCCTTTATCCTCTGCTGTCAGCCTGTATCTGTGAGACTTGCTGACAAACTGTTTCTCTTATCCCAGTCTCTTGGTTGGTCCTCATACATAAAGGGGTGAAAAACCCATCCACAATACATGCTGGACTGATTTCTCCTCTCCAATTTATCAGGCTAATGCTATATAATGCTACTGTGCCACCTCTGCTATACATAGGCGCAGTTCGTCTTGACTGAGAAAACAGAACACCTTTGAGAGCTCTGCCCTGCAAATCAGAGCATAAACTGTTCACTGTTTTTCTAAACACTCATGAGTAATTTAAATACATGTTATGTCAGCATGATTATATTGACTAAAAAGGTTGAGAACTTAAATTAATATTTACTTTTAAACAGTATAGAAGTTCAGAAGCAATGCATCTTTGATAAATACCCATCACTATCATATATAATTGATAGAATAAAACCAGCTACTAAATATCACTTAATAGCTGGCTTTTTTCTGTAATTATAACGTATCTGGAATTCCTGTTGAATTCACTGAGATAACCCTCCAAGGGAAGGCTATGGGAAAATACATACTTATATTACTACATGTACTTAATTTGCATAATTATTAACCAGAAGAAAAAAAGGAAAGAAAACACAACTAAATTTGGCTGGGATAGCTCAGTATTTTCTCCTAGATCTGCAGCTTGCAATAATAGAGGAACATGCTGTGCTACTGATTTGACTGTACAACTCCCTGCTGACTCCATGAGCAAAGTCAATTAAAAATTTGTTTACGTTGCAGGATACAGAATTAATAACATTTCACTCAAATAACTATTACTTGAAAGAACAGAAATAACTACACATAAAGGAGAAAAGATCCCAAACTCCTCATTCCATCTACTGTCATGCATCGGACACATACATTGGATTCCAGCAGGTTAATATGGAATGCATTGAACTGTTGGATTCAAGAGTCATAGCTTCCAAAAGCCAGTGTATGGCACACAGTTGTCGGTAAAGATGTTCACTGCAAAGAGGAGAAACAAATGTGTTATGCTGCAGTGTCAGGGAAAGACTCAAACTCTCATCACGTTGGCTGAAATAGATATCTCTCAGAGTAAAAACTCTTGTTGATAAAAAGAATTTCTGTAGCAGATAATTTTTTCATCGTCCCAGTGAATTCAGGGCACCTTGAGACCTTGAGTTATGTAACATGAATACATAACTGAATCCTGAAAGCGTATCTTTGGATGTTAAACTTTTCAGTGGACTGACCTTGGTGATGTGCTCAGTGCTTTCATACCTGTGAGGATTCCAGCATTTATCCCCTTATGGTATAGATTCTTATGGGGTTTGGATTCTACAGTAGGTTTAAGATTTTGCATTTAAGAAAAAGCAGCATGTGAGTTTAAAATGTTGGACCATCTTTTTCTAAACTAAGATTATCTTTGGCATTTTATCTTATTCCACATGCAAATACTAATATGTAAAGACACTTTTGGTAAGCAACTGGGTTAATGAACTTAGAACAGAACAGGTAGTGTGTATTAGTGAATGTATAGATATATACATATATATACAAAATGTATAGAAGTGTACACTACACCTACTGTCTTCTCCCTCTCTCATAGGTCTACTTTTTTTTAACTAGGCAAATTAAATTTTAATTTTGACAGCCTTTCCTTAAAATGAGCCTAATATTGAAAGCTATACCACATAAGCAATTTTAATGCAAATTAGTCAGAATTTTCTAAGTCGAGATCATCAAGGCAAATGATGCACGTGTACATGTGCACATACAGGGTTTTTAGTAACTCATTAGGATTCAATTACTTAGAGTTTAACAGTTGCTATTAATAAAGGCACAATATTTCACCATAAACTCCTGCAGTTCTCTGGATACATATTGACCAGTTGAATAGCGGCTCTAGGTATATGTGTTGCTGTGAATTCCATTTATGTCCTACCAAGGAGAGTAGGACATAAATCTGCCTTCAAATATACCTTTTTGCTCCAAGGGGGCTTGGGATCAAGACACTGGTATAAACAGGAGTGAAAGACCGTAAGGTCATCTTTTTTGTCTTCTTCCCTGACTTCCTCAGGTGATTGCCTTCTGTTAGAGAGCAACTGTGAGAAAGGACAAAGACCGGAGTTAAAAAAGGAGCATGTGAAATGAAGACAGAGCCAATAAAACTGTTTACTGTGTTCACATCACCACATTCCCTCTTCCCCTCCTTACATTTAAAAAAATACTTAGATGTAGTTCTAAATTGTGAATTACTGCCGTTGTTGACATTTACTAATACTACAAACCTGACGTTTATGTTTACCAGAATACATAATTATTAGTTATTTCTAATATGTTTATGATACTTTATGAATTATAAATGTGGTATTACTTGTATTTACATATTTATACTACTAGTTATTATTAGCAATTAAGCATTTATGTGAAACCAAATTTGGGGGCAGATGCAATAAGCTAACTGATTTGTCTCAGAAAAGATGCCCAGATACTGCTTACATTCCATTACACTTGTTTTGTGTTGGTATTATGCCAATGGCATCATCGGGATTATATATACACACAAGACCAACATTTCAAGATGTGCCTCTCAAATTCTGTTCAGTTTTTCTTGCACACATACTATGTGCAGAGAAAACAACCAAGATTAAGTTGAAAAGATTCAACCTAAAGAAAACGAGTCTCATGTGTTGGCAAAAACAATGTAACAGAAAACTGAGCTCCTTCTAGACTGTGGGCACTGTTTCTTCACTGCCACAAGCCTGTTTGGCCATTTACACCTGTACAAGGTGTTTATAAAATGCTACCAAGCAAGAAAAGGAAATGTTTACAGCTGTTTTCCCATAACACAAATAACTACGTGCACCTGGTGTTAGACAATGGAGATTCAAGCTTAATAGTACAGTGAGATATTGTACCCTTCATATATCAATAGTAAAGAGAAGATAGGAGGTCCACACAAAAAGATATAACATAAAATATTGTATGCTGGATCATAAATTAGTTAAAACACCTGAAATTATACTGGCCATAAAAAAAATAGCTGAGAGGTTAACTGAGATCTGGGTGAGTCTTAAAGCTGTATGCAGAGTTCGTTAGCAGAGACTTCCTAAACGAATGAATGGTTGATTCTGGATTAGCATTTCCTTTCTAGATCTGAAGCAGCCTGGGGGCGTCAGCTTACTGTTGCCTACTATAAACTAGCAAATATTTGGAATAAGGCTTGAGGAGTGTGTGCCCCAAGCATTCCATTGATACAAATTTTCTAAAGCAAAGCAGCAATTGTAGATAGTACATACAACACTGGCATGGGCACCTCAGCACTATGTTTAAATAGAGTATTTTCTTCAGCTAATTAAGAAATTAATAAACTCACATATTGTTTTGTCTAACAAAAGAGATCTCTAACAAAGATATAAGCTGGCAGATGTTCCTGCTGTCCCAAAAGAAATTTCTTACACTAAACCTCAAGAAGTGGTTGTCTTCATTCAGATATCTTAGAGAAATTTTAACTGCAAATTTGTACTTATTAGAGATGATGAGGCAAATTAATTCCACAGACTTTGTGGTTCAAAACAACATGCCTGTCTTGCGCTTCCTCAAATCACACTTCCAATTATCTCTTCTCTGTAATCCTAACAAACAACAGAATGCCAGAATAAAGAGTGGGACCATTGTATACACATTGAAGCATATGACAGAGTCCATATTCCTACTAATGAGGGGTAACTAAACTTTACTTCTACTTTGTCTGCTGGTATGGTAAGAAGCTGTTACCAAGTTTAGAATATTTAAAATAGTTGGTAACATAATTAAATGCTACAAAAGTCCCAGTAGAGGCTTAATATTTGCTGTTGTCTTACAAGGAAAAAGAGGAAGGGGGTGGGAAAGCCCTACATCCATCACTGGAATCTGTGCATATAAAACCAAGCCAACAGTTTCAATCACTGTGGAAGACTGAAGCCAGACATCATCTGTTGAAAAGACACCTTGTGCCCCAGCAGTTTAACAGTGCGTCAGAGCCTTTCTTATTTCTGTGAAGTCCCTAATTTTTGAAGTCAGCACTGTGAAAGCTAGGAGTGAAGTAAGTCTCCAAACCAGATAATGATCTGTATTTTCTACCTAGGCTTTTTCCGCCCCCCCCCCCCCCTAACGCCCCCCCCCCCCCCTTAAACTTCTTACCATTGCAGACAAGCATATATGTAACAGCACACAGCTGACTAACAACATGCTGGCAGGTTCCTGCATGTGTTTAAGACACATGGGACAGTCTGAATAAGCAAAGGCACACCTGCCAAAGCCATGCATTTCTTGTTTCACACGTTTCAGTGTGTACTCCTGTCCCACCCAACATATCCTGACCTCCTAATTTTGACATCTGATCATGTCTAACAATTTCCCTCTTAGAAATGTTGGCAGATACTAGAAGCCTTTCCTCTAAAAGTGAAGTTAAATGCTCAATTAACATTAGTTTTAAGCAATACATTGAAAATATTAAAGGATATCAGGCTTATACTAGAAACTTCTGCTAGTGTAGATTTTTAGGTTAGTTTTAAGATTTTAAAATAGATTTTTACAGCTGGCAAAAACCTCGGTGCAGAGGTAGAATTGAAGTGGCTTTGGCAGTATTAATGCAGAAACCTGGTATACTCTGCACCAGTAAAAGTTTTTTTACTGCTAGGAGAAGCCATTCCTAAATGAAGATAATTTTGCCTATGCAGGTGTACCTTCCTAAAGGAAAGAAGTATATCAAATCTTTTTAGGTCAGTCTTGCTGAAGAAAGAAGCCTTTCCTTACAGAATAAAATAAATTACTTTTACAATAAGATGAATGGTCACAATAATAAAGGCAATGAAGGTATTCTTCATATGCATAATAAATTATTTGCCTGCAACAAGTGTGGATTAGCTGAGTTATGGGTAGTTCAAACAGTTACATATCAAAAATAAAAATTAAGCATAAAGTTTACAAAAAAAACTTTTGCAGAGGTTCTTATGTTTGTTTGGGTTTTTTTTAAATTAAATAATCCGGTTACCCTAAAATGTTCATGTGGCCTTCCTTAACCTAGGATCAAAGGTGTAGCTATTCAGTTAGTGACCATTTAGAATGCTGGACATTAGATGTTACTCTAGTAAGTATATTATTTTTCTGTTCAGAACATCTCTGCCTCTCTGTACTGGTCTAGGTTTCATACTAATAGGAAAGATTTTATTTCTTATTTTTTAGTAATGGTTCTATATCATTGTCTCACTTCATGGGCAGGGCATGATTGCATCTCAGATGAATGTGGAGACTGAGTTTTCCAAGTTGAGAGTCAGTTCATGGACAAAAGGTGAATGAGAGGAAGCTGGTACCTGTGACTGACAAAAGCCACAGCAAATTGATGAGAAAAGACCGTTAAACATGGATGAGCTTTTGATGTGATAAGGCTCCCAAAGGTGTGTAGCCTCTAGAAAAGCTACTCTGTCCTGCTGAGAGTATTGAATCATTTCATCACCTAGTGAGGGTTGACAAATGGAAGACAACTACAGTGTTACAACAGGCTTTAAAGGTGCACTGAAGAGACCAGCATGAGCCAAAGGATCGAAGACTATCTAATAATCAAACAGAGAGAAAACCTGAAGAAGGTAGTAAGTAATAGGTCTGAACTAGCAAAGAAATCCACTCTGCAAGCTAAGCCACTTATTCTGCTGAATGTAGTTTTTTATTATTCTTACTGCTGTGGTCCCATAAAAGGGACAAAAGCATGGCACAAACTCACCAGGCCTCCTCCTTTTCTCCTCATAGAATCAGTTCTGAATTAGCTGTGAAACCTCTCCTGAGTTCACTAACCTTCTGCCTTCTAAACTTCATCCTTTTTAAACAGCGCCCCAAGCATTTTTTTTCTCCCATGCTTGTGAAGTTTACAGCTGCTCACTTACCCAGATTTTAAGCATTTTCTCTTTCTAGTTCACACAAGTAGTAATACACTCCCTCAATACCAAGTAATGACAAAACTGGAAATTGTCGCTTTTTAAAACCACTGCCCTCGGATCAGCAAAAGCCCTCTGAGTTAACTTACGTGCTTATTTCTTCCTCCAACTCCTCCGCATCAGAGGAGTATTTGCGTGGCTGGAACTTAGTTCTCCATCTCGTGCCCTGAGCCTGCTGGGCTGCTTTCAGTGTGTTCTTCCTCTCCAGTGATTCTTGGTAAAGTATATGAAAGTATTCTCCACCTTGCTTCACAGAATTGATATGATGCCTGCCAAAAATCATCACAAGTTGGTCAGTGTACTAAAGACACATTATCAAATTAATTAATTTCTCTTGCCCACCAACTTAATTTTTAACAGAGATTTCACATTCTTCTATATTCAAGAGTTCAACATTAGTATTTCCTTCCGCAATATGATAACAAAGTATAGCAATTCCCCAGTATGAACTGGGACATCTTTCCCTTATGTCTTTCAGCACTGCACAGGTTAACTATTGGATGTCTTGAACTCAGCATCACTTTCCCCACTACTTGATTTTAGAAGTCCCTGCCTATCTCTAATTTGTAGCAGCCAATTGACCACTAGGCCTCTCGCTGTCTTAACTCAGTTGTCACAGCCTGACAGGCACTGCCCTGAAGCTACCTCTTAGCTGCTAAATTCCACTTGCTGTCAGATGGCTGCATTGTTAGTAACAGGAAAGCTGCCAGTGAAGCCTGTGAGTGAGCTGAAGACAACAGGCAGGGTATTACTGCAAGAGAAAAAACCAAAGAGACTATAATGCACTCCCTGTAGGATGACAACAGAGGTTAAAAAAACCCAAATACAAAAAACATGAGCTAGGGCAGTGAAAGGGATATGGCACACAGTTACTCTATAGCCTTTGATTAAAAAGTTAGCAAGAATGTAGCAGCAGATCCACATCAGGCACGCATACTATACTCCTATCCAGGCATAGGACACATCCCTTTAAGTTAATGTGTTGCTGATTTTTGAATCAAGTGTCCTCAGGCATTATTGATTCTTTCAAACACAATCTAGGCTTGAAAGCTAGGCCTCATTTGTTTTACTGAGAAGTAAAAACTTTTTTTTTTTTACCAGACATGTATTAAAGCACCTGGAGGTCGTAACAGTATGCAAGTTTCAGGCATTGAATTCACTAGTCCTCAAGGGGAGCAGTTTACTCCTTAATTGCTTCCCTTTATGAAAAACCACTTGCACAATTCAACGGTTTTGGGATTTGGCTTTCGATTTTGTTGACTTTTTTTTAAGTCCAGCAACTATAAATAAAAGTCTGAAAACATTTCCAGTTCACATAAGTAATAATCTGTCTGCTAGATATTTCTATACTAACTTTGGGAAAATGTAGAAAAGATAAGAAAATAAGATGTCCCTGATAAGAAATGCTGCATACTTCAGAAAGACATAAGGATTTCTGAGTCGTGTCAGACTGGCTTCATGTTTTTCATAAGAACCTAGTAGTTTGCATAACAGACTTCTCTTGGAATACTAGAAAATGTTTAAAGGCCTCAAATTCTTACTTTACGTCCTTTTCTAGTAGTTTTCTCTCTCTCTCTCTCCTTTCTGCCAACTACCAAGATATTTGTACATAAAAATATTTTTTCCCTTCATAGTGCTTTTTCTACATTTCTGCATGCACTAATATAAGTATTCCTTCTTAAAGATCAAAATCCCTGCTGTAGCTGTATACTATAACACCACAAATAGTGAACAATAATGTTATTACATGAATCAAAGACAAGTGGTAGAGAAAGGTAATTATAAACTAGAACTAAACTATTACACTAACAGCCATAACCGGTATTATTGGAGAAAGATGCATAAATGGCAAGTAGAATCAGTACTTTTTTTTTTTTAAGGTTTATCTAATACAGAAGGCTTTAACACATGTATACCAAAAATCAATGATCACACTCTCATACCAATTGGAGTAGGAAATGTTATGCACACTTGTGAAAGAACATTTTTAGTCTATGACTTCCTTGAAGTCCCAGGTATTACAAAAAGTAGCTCTACATCCTCCAAGTATAGGAAAAGAAATAAAATAGAATTAACAGAAATGCAACATATAGAAAAGCTGTAATAACTACCTGATTTAAACCAAAAAAATCCTCTCATAACTCTATAGAATTATTTAATAGAATCATAGAATATTTCTGGGCTATTTATGAACAACCCTAAAGGGTTCACAAACTCCTGTCAGGAAAACAGTAAAACAAATCCAAACTTAAGATACAGATGTGACCACCGCACTTTTCTACACTATAGATTTACAGTATATTGCTGGAATAGGACATCAAATACTTCTCCATTTAAGTTCTGGCATCACAATACCCTCTTCAAACACTAACTTCATAAATTTAGCTGGGCTGCCTACTTGATGGATAGGTAAGAATCATTCATTAAAATGCAAATATAATCAAGATGAAATTTAGAATACATTTATTAAAGTAATTGAGCTTCATTCAACTGTAGTCACAACACAGATTTTCAACTGCCATTCAGACAAAAGGATTTGTCTTATTTTTCTAAGTTAGTAACTTTATCAGCATGAAAATTGAAAGAGTTTCCTGAGCAGTAATAACAAACTATGGAATACTTTGAGTTTTCTCTACTGGAATATACTATTCTAGATAAGGGTCAATGACATACACAAAGGAGCGACCCAGTAGCGTACTACACTTACAGAAAATTGGTTGCAAGCATATTTTCAGTGCTTGGTGTAACTACAAACTTATTAAATTACACTTTAAATCCTTTAGGGACTTTAAGGTGATCAGTTAATCGTAATACAAGACCATTAAAACATTGGGGAAATTGAACTTTTACTGCTAAGATATGGGATTCTTAGTGCCTGCCTTTGAGTAAGAAATGACTCACAAAAATAAAAGGAAATAATGAATTTGTCCTAATTATAATTTAAGTGCTAGAAAGAACAGTAAGACACTATAATAATAATGCCAGAAGACTTTGCATCAGGGTACGGACAAGCTAGATATTTACCAGGGTTGTTGGGGTTTTTTTTTACATTCTTTTTAAATATATCTTGTTTAAGTACACTGGGTCATCTTCACGAAATTCAAATGAATCATACTAAGGATCTATTTGTCCCAGAAGATCAGATTTTACAGTTAACAACCTCATGTCTACTTTGTACATAAACAAATTTAGTGGGAGATGGTTTACTAAAGGAATGACATGCACCCCTAAACATGTGATGCCAAATCCTTGCTCTGGTAAGCTGGCATAACTCCAGCCCGAACAGAATTGCTAGAAAAATGGGCAGAAGGCTGCACACCCTCTTGGCTATCCCTCCACTAAGCAACTGTGTTCAGTGGAGTGGGTAGTGTTACTGGGGTGCTTCAGTCTCAGTAACTCTTCCTGCTAGTCTCCCTCTGTCCCAATCCCTGAGGTGCAAAGAAGTTGCCATCTATTTATACCAGCTTGATTCTCTCTCTCTAAGGCTGAGCATTATATTATGATCATGGTGAACAAATACTGTGAGTTGTAAGTAAAATAACTATGTATCTATAAAACAATTTCACTACATACACATTTCTCTGATCATGGAAGCTGTTAGCCACTGTTTCATAAAATGGCTTATTCAATTTTCTTATCTTAATGGATACAGCCTTTATGCAAATAAAGCTAATGACAGAACACCTCCTGCTCCAGACACTATACAGAAAGAATGTAGCCTTTTCCAGAGGCTTATAGCCATTTGTAAATATAAATTAAACCAATGTGGCTCTGAAAGCCACTGAAAACACAGGCAAAGTGCCATTTCCTATGTTTTCATAAAAGCATTTCAATCTGCATCTGCAACACTCCCTGCTAGACAGCTCCTCTTTGGGCACAAGGCCAGACCCTGATGAGGGTGTTGCAAGGCACATATCAGCTGGGCACTGCCTAACTTGTGGCACTAGTGACAAACTGAATATTGAGCCAAGGCTTTCCAGGTGAAAAGCAAGTGCAATTTTGTGTACACCACTACTCAGAATGGTTTTTAAGTGAATATCTTTTATAGCAGAAAAAGCAATACAACTGTTGTATTTGTTTTATCCATTTCTATATAAAACAGAAAGCACAGGAAGCATTAGCTTTGAAACTACAGTAAATACAGCTAAAACATATTCTGAACATTACAGACTAAAACCATGGATTAAAAATACCAAACAAAACCAGTGTAATTCTAAATGAACACTTAGCAATATTTGCAGCCATGTCATCATGAGCTGTGATCCAATCACAAATCTCAAATGAGGCTGATGAGTGTTTGAATCCTGAAGAATTCAAACAAATATCCACTGAAGGAAGCGGTGAGAGCAGGAAGCTTGCTTCATTTGGATTAAACTTGAAATCTATGCCCTTACCCTAGTTTTACGGGGCACTGTGGTACCAGAGGTTCTGTCTTTATAAAAAAATGGAAGTTCTAACAACCAGAACTTATTAAGGATCCTATGGTAATCTCTGCAGGAGCACAAGCATTAACACCTGCATTCTCATCAGATTCCATTTCAACTGATTAAATGTTACTGCCTCCAGTTGGAATAGGACACTTTGTTTTAATCATTCCAGTCCCCCAAAATACTATGTTGTGAGTATGTGCATTAACACACATCAGACTCCATTTGAGCTGTTGCTGTATTCTAGTAGCTGAAGTAATTCTTCTATGCCCCTTAACTTTCTGACAAGGTGCCGTAACACCTACACAGCTCAGAATTGTGAAACAGCAGGAAATGCCAAGATAAAAGAAAATCCATATGCACAGTGCTTTTCTTATTTACAAAGCACACACAGAACAATAGGAGAGCAAACCCTGCATTTCTTGCAATTTGTGGAGAATCTGCTCCATTCTCTTATCAGTAACTACTGGAGCCGCTGACCATTTCACTCAGTTCTTTAGTGCTTTACATCCAGTGTTGTAATGTATATCTATGCCAGTATGTCCCAAACTTATTTACGTTAAAGTTGCTTCACACCTTTCCTGAGTGATGTAAGGCAGTCTCATTATAAATGAGTATTAGTGCATTGTTTACTTAAAAAAATACTCAGTGAGTTATTACAGGGTGCATACACTACCCACCTTCTGAAATTACCAAAAGCCATGGAGTTAAGTTTACATCATGGTGAGCCTGAGCTAGCAAATCCTACTACTGAGCTCTGCATTTGGGTCATATCCTGAAAGCTTAGCAAGGGGACAGAAAAAGCTTACAACTATTCACAATTCATATGTAGATAATAAACA